TTTTAAATAAATCATTAGGTAAACTGTGGCCACTACAGAGGTAAAACAACCACACAATCATAAAGACAGTTTATTGTGGGCTGTTTTCTACACATGTATATTGTTGGATTTGTAGAGAAAGCCACAGTAGCGTGAGAGAATCCATGCATGCATGGAGGAAAAAAAATGCAAGCCTCAAACAGGCTGCAGCTGGGATTTGAACCCAAGACCTTCCTGCTGCAAAGCAACAATCTTAACAAATGCATCTTTGTTTGAAATCTTCAAATAAAAATTATGAGTTTCATAAAAAGAAAGCTTCTAAAACATGAAGATCTGACTGTCTTTTTTTTTTTTTTTTTTGCAAGTCTTTTTTGTTTTCCAGATAAGGTCAGAAACATTTAAATTAAAGCAGTGCTCTATACTATTTACCCAATCCTTTCCAGCTGACTGAACTCTGAGGCTTTTGTATTTCCTCATTCATGAAGCGCATAGTTGAGTCTAAATATAACTGCTGCTTTTGTCCAGCATTTTTGCGACTCTAGGATTCAGCTAAAACTATGTAAAAACAACACTTTTGAAAACTTTCCAACATGAAAGGGGATCATGGAGGGAAAAGGTGGTTTTAGAAACTCAGTGTAGAGTGATTTTTTTTCATATTTATTTCCTAACAGTTTTTGCATATAATAGGAACTCATGTAATGATAAATAAATTCACAGAAGCACCAGAGAAAGTAAACTCAACTGGGGAGATAAGATTGCAGGCTTTTGGGAGCAGCAGTCATAAATGAGTCAAGAACTACAGATAAAACTTTCTAGATCATTCACCCCTACTGAAAACGGAAATGTGTTCACGAACAGAGCTCAAAATACAATAAAAAAGTGCTTCTGTATACTGAATAAGGAAGGAATCCATTTGAATTACTTCTAACTTCCTTCTCAGCACAGGTTTGTGATATTAGCATTCCAGGCATCTGATGGGAACTACTTCGTTTACTGAACAGATGTAAGCCTGGTTAGGTGATTAATAGGTGTCTTGAAGGTAGGGGTAGCATTCCTGGGGGGTTGAATAATCAAAAAGTTTAATCACATCTGATTATGTATCTTTAGGTGGAGCAGAATTAAGTGATTTGGATGATCCATTTTACAAAAATACCCCCAACTGCAATCTAAGCAATGTGTTTAAATAAATCCTGTGTCTCCTGCCTCTTGAGCAAGCTAATAATGACTTAACTAAAAGATTTGAGTTTCTGTAAAGCAGTAGATCTAGGTTGACAGACAGTGTGATGGGTACTTTTGAGACAGGATTCTAAAAAAACATTTAAAAAATGGGAACCAGACATAATAACAGAGAGTAAAGCCGCATAAACACGGTGTGAAAAGTGTGACTTATGAAGCCAGTATTTGTGGCAAGAATTGTTTTCTGTGTGAGCAATACACCTTACAGCTTAACCAGCCCACAAGAGGATCTAAGTAAAGTATATGTTGTTCTGTAGAGGTCCCTTTATAGTAACCTACATGACCTACCCAGGGGATCTAATACCCTTAATGCCATACCGGGGAATGCTTTTTTTTAAAAGCTTCCTCCCAAAAATCCAATTTTGCTCATGGTTTTTGCAGCCTCAGTTGATATTTTTTTTATTATTTGCCTTTATTCAGATCCATTCATTTTCCCAGTAACTCTGACTAGTTTTATTGTCGCTATTGAGAAGGAACATAAACATTACACTACCACATTTCAAAATATAGTACAAGTTGAAAGTGGTTGTTTAACAGTTGCAACGTTTAACTGAGGTTTGTTCAGGACTTTGTTCAGGACTTCTACTGGGGCACAAAATATATAATCTGCAGCCTAAGCTCCTGAAAAATGGGCATGAAAACACCTATGAACTTACTCTAAGAGTGTCTTTAATAAATAGTTGCATTTAAATTTGCTTAAAATTATTATAACCTGGTGTTATCACTATTTTTTATCTTAAAAAAAGGATTATGTTAGAAAGCCTTAAAGTCATTTAACAATGTTACATCTGTCTAGGCCATGTTAGTGCTTTTTAGTTAATTTGTCAAAGATCAAAAACAAGACCACTGTTCTGCTGTCAGTTATATGACTATCTTTCTATGGATTAGTATTCATATTTTTTTTATTTTATAAATGAAATGTGTGCAATACAGACTGTTTCGTAAAAAACAAGAATAATTCAGTTACCTGAGAATTTAAAAAGTATATTTTCTGTGACTGCGTATTCTATTCCTTTAGGACTCTCTACTTGTTTTATTTGACATTCATGACCCATAAAATACAAACTATATGTAGCAGCTTGTGCTATAACAGATACACTGTATTTAGCATTTAAAATATATTTAGATAGAAAACTCATTATTATGGTGTGGAGATATTGAGCAGAATAGAATAGAATAGAATAGAATAGAATAGAATAGAATAGAATAGAATAGAATAGAATAGAATAGAATAGAAAATCCCTTTATTGTCCCACAAAGGGGAGATTCTGCTGCTTACAAGTTTATAGAGAAAATGGTCACACAAATGTGGACCTTATAATAACATAATAGTTAAGAGTTAAAATAATAAACAAATGAAATACTGTGTATTTCATGAAATATTGTGTAACTATATGTTTTTACTGGTTTATACCATCCATGTAACGTCCCCATTTGTAAAAACTGACCTGAGGTTTCCATTAAAGAGGTCAAGAGAAATAAAAAACATGGACCAAATTTCCAGAAACTTTCATTTGCCAATGGTGACACCTGGTGGTCATAAGCAGTTACAACGTTTTGAAACGGTTGTGATGCAACTTATTATTTATCTTCTGAGAAAAAAAGTGATAAAAATAGCGTGAAAATCTTTTGTTCTATAGAATTGTTGTTATAATGAATATACTTGTTAAGCGTAATTATGTGTAAACTACAATGAGATTTCCACTTTTATGTGTGCTTCCCCTTTAAAATTTCTGACCAACTGTCTAAGCGCCCAATCGCGGCGCGGAAACTGAATGCGTTGTTGTTAGCAACTAGCGGCTAGCTTTCAGCTAATATTAACTAATCGGTTAGCTTACAGTTCGGGTTTTTTAAATGTCCTGCTTATGTCAAGCAAATTTAAGCAAAATTTAGCCGTTCACAAGTCTTAAAAAGCGTGTGCCTTCAACATAAGTTAAAATGACTTCTGCACTGGTGAGTTTAGCTGCTTTACACTTATGTAAATAAATGTAATGTTATATAGACTTTTAGGGTGTGTGAAAACTTGTTTAACATTAAAGTGGCAGGGAAGTAAACACATTAATCTATTTGTATTTGAATACTATAGGAAATGATAAAAGCGTTTTTGTTTGTGTATTATATATTTGGACATATACAAGAAATCTAACAATGTATGAGTTCACAACAAAAATACACTAACTTTCTGTTTCCAGCTGATGTATCACCATTTTTTATTTTTATTTTTTGGTTTGATCAGTCTGTGTTGTTGGAAAGTATTGCAATGCATTTTTTGTGTAACTTGTCTATTAAAACATATTTGGGATATTAAAGCATTATCTATGGCCAGGTAAGTAGAGGGAGAGATGACCATTATACCTGCTTTTTGATCTGAATGCTGAGTAAAATGTAATGCTCAAAAAACCAAAGGAATCACTACAACATGTTTTAAATCCCCAAATTAAATATTCCTGTTGGGGATTTGTGCTCATTACACAACGGAATCTTATGAGAACAAAGTAACACAGAAAGGATTAATGCAGGTCATTATTATTATTCCATGTTGTTCTCAACCTAGGAGTCGTACTCAGCATAAAGTGGAAAATCACATCACAGGCCGGTCCACTGACAAGTCAAAATGAGGCTCAGTTTTGTGTGTGACAGACCTTTCTAGATGTCCCAGAGGTGCTTGATTGGATTCAGGTCAGGCAACTCTATAGCATCCATCCATCTATCCATTTTCTAAAACGCTGTATCCCGAGTGGGGTCGCGAGGGGTGCTGGTGCCTATCTCCAGCTGTCTACAGGCGAGAGCCAGGGTACGCTGGACAGGTCGCCAGTCCATCGCAGGGCAACACAGAGATGAACAGGACAAACAACCATTCACGCACACACTCACACCTAAGGAGAATGTGGGAGGAAGCTGGAGTATCAGGAGAGAACCCATGCATGCCCAGGGAGAACATGCAAACTCCATGTAGAAAGACTCCAGGCTGGGAATCAAACCCACGACCTTCTGAGCAGCCCCACTCTATAGCATCAATGCCTTAATCATGCAGGAACTGCCGACACACTTAAGCTGTATGAGGCCTAGCAGTATCATGCAGAATTTGGTCTCACAAGGTGTCTGAGGATCATATCCCAGTACCTGATTGAAGTCAGGGTACCTGCGACTGTTAGTCTGCACCTGCTCTCATCTGTGAAGAACACAGGGAGCTATTGGCCAATCACAGCAGACTGTGTTAAATTAGTTCAGATGGCTTTTTAGGAGATATTTAGAATCTTTCTTAAGCTTCCATGATTGACATGTAAATTTTATTTATTCATAATCAGTTGTTTGAAGAAAAAAGAAGTTTGACCATAATACTACACAATAGTACAAAGTACCACCTTGAGCTTTTTAGCTTTTATGACTGTTCGTAAACTAAAAGTTCAATTTTAAAATTATTTGTTTGGGGAAAATGTAAACGGCATACTCTATATTTCTCTAAAGACAAAAGATTTGCAGCTTTAAGATGCACATGTGGATGAGCTGAATATTGCATTTAGTTCTGATCAGATGTCCAGTTTAGTTGCAGCTGTAAAATATTTTGACATATTAAGCCAAAAGTATTTTGACTTTTATTTTGTTAAAATATCTAACAGAAAGCACAAACTATTTGTGGAAGTTTGTAGTTGCATTAAAGGTAGGGGTGTTTGCTAAAGAGGAACTCAGTGTAGGATGCCAAATAATTAAACTTTTCCAATATGGGCTCCATGTAGGCCATAAAATATTACATCAAAATGAATACTGAAAGATATAAAACCAGCTTTATTAAATATTCACAATAGTTTAACACAGGTGTAACTTGAGTAAAAAACGTGAAAGGGATTTATAAAAAAAAAATACAAAACTTTCAGATGTTCTTTTAATTGTCTCTTTACTTATTCAGTATACTCGATATAAAATCCATGTTTAGAAGTTTGTTCAAGTCTCAGCTCTCGACGCCATATTTGTCAAAGTGTCTCATTATAACTCCCAGCTCCAGCTCCACAGTCCCCATGGTTTCGGTGTGCAGTCTGTATCTGTCCGCCCCGCTGTAGATCAGGTCCGGGTTGCGGAGCTGGGGTCCACCGCCGACAAACATTTGCGCTAGCTGCTCCTGCCACGAACCGAGAGGCCTCCAGGTCACGCAGCTTATCCTGTGATGTCCCGGACTGGAGGGGACGTGGCAGTAGCCGTACCCGTACAGCTGGCAGCGACCGAAAGAGTCCTGGTGCCACACCTGCAGGTGGAGCTTGGGCCAGCCTTGGAGACCTTTGGTTGCGTAGAGTAGATCAATCGGGTGACTCCAGTAAGCCATGTCTCCAGTTTGAGGAAAGTCCACTTGAGTCTGTCCTTCCTTTAACCCGGAGAGAAGACGCCATGCTCCTCCCGTGTGAACACCCCATTTACAAAATAGACTATTTTGCGGGAAACCGCTGGCCCCGATGATCTGGCCTATGATGTGAAGCTCTGCCATTTCAAAGCTGTCCGCTTTAACCCGGGCATTCGGTTCAGTTCCGAACAACGGCTAACCTCACTGCTAGCTCTGGCTCAACGGCTAAGCAGGAGGCTCGCGATAGCAGCACAGAACACGTCTCCATGGTAACCCAGGCTGTCTCGAAGCGCCTGCTTGAAAATAAAAAAATACAATTACACACAATACAGTACAGTACAGTCTGTAAAGCTACCCATTCTTTTCTTTTAGGTTTTAGTTTAATTGTTTGCAGACAGTTGGAGATCAACATTTTTTTTATATATAGATATCATTTAGTATTTCAGTATAAGTGTTAATGAAATCATAAATAAATTGACAGGTGTTATTTGTTACATAAATAAGTGACAAAAGTAAAAGTTAAGGTTTTGTGCTGTTATCCATTTTTTTTGACGGTGGTTGGGATGTAAACCATTTACATTTGTAAATTAGCCTACATCATTCTGACTATAAATTTATTTGTCTCTCTAAAATAAGCAAGACAATGAGCCTTGAGACCATCGTAAAATAGTGCCACACAGTGAGCATTACACAAGTGAAACGTGATTAATTAATTAAGTACATTGTACAATATCATTATAAAATAATTATCCCCATATTTTAGCCTTTTATTTACCTGGGATGTTTTGCTTTATGATCAGCAAAAAAACTGCTTTGCATAAATGCTCTTGCACGCAATTCCTGAGTTTCAAGAGTCTGTAGTAATATAGAAACAAAACAAACACTCACACCCCCCAAAGATATGTGAAGTAGGGCTTCAACTAAAAATTATTTTACTAATCGATTAATTTGTTGATTATTTTTTTGATTAATTGATTAATAATCGTATATCAAAATGTTTCTGAATGAAGATTTCTTATATTTTTATCAAATTAAACCAGGTTTAACTAAATTTTTTCCACTTAAGACGTTTTAGATAGAGAATATTGACTGACGAAAAAGTTTTTTTTTTTAATCATAAATGCAAAATGTTTACTTTTTTTTTTTCTTTCTACAATTTTGGTATAATTACTGCTCAATGTGGGTTGCTGTATCAGCTAAAGAGACGTTTTAGAGTCTCTACTCTCCAGTTAAGGATTAATCGCTTTCTACATTAGTTGATGATTTTTTTCAATAATCGATTAATCACGATTAATACCACCAATTGTTTCAGCCCTAATGTGAATCTTTTCATTTAGCAAATAATTCGAAAAGCAGTATTAAAAAATACATTTCCAGCCTTATCAAAGTAGGCAGTCAGTGATTTTCATTTATCTAAAATGAAGAAATCACATGCCTTTGTGGAGTCTCTTGAAGTCATTTCCCTTTGGGATTATTAAAGTATCTCTGATTCTGATTCTGAGTCTCAATAAAATGGCTTTACTAACATTTGATCTGCATAGGGCTGTATATTTCAGTTTACAATTTTTCAATTGCTAAATAGTTGAAGATTAATTTATACTAAGAATAAATTTTACACAGATTGACTCTTATTTACTGCATAGATGACTTTTAAAGGCAGGTAGCCATGGATTTTACTTTTCCAAACCGGTTGTGACCTGTTTTGACTATACTTTCTGTTTGAGTAATATCATTTGACCACATCCCTAGAATTTCTCCATCCATCCATCCATCCATCCATCCATCCATCCATCCATCCATCCATCCATCCATCCTGCATGCTTTTTCCCACGCGGGTTCGCGAGGGGTGCTGGTGCCTATCTCCGGCGGGGTACACCTTAGACAGGTCACTGGTTCTCTTTTGGGTTGTTCAGTTTCTCTAATTATATACCGCACACACTAATTATTGCAGGAGTTATAATATAGGACCACACTTTTTCAGGTTTGCGAATGACAGTTATTGTCAGGCTGTTGCAGGAAATGCAAGAACTGTGAGATTTGTATGGCTTTGAATAAGTTTTGATGCAAAATGATTGATCTTCTTTGCTATTATTATTATTTGACATATTGAAAATATTCATGTTCTGAAGCTCTCATACGCTCGTTGAAGCTCTCATACGGTATTTTTTCAATTTAATGTAGCTATTTCTAAGAGGGTCTGTCCACTACCCTAAAAAAACTACAGCTTCCTATATATCACATCACTCCTTTCAACTCTTGAGATTTTGTGATCTTTTTACCTTTGTAAATACAGAAAAATGTTTGTTTTTTAGATTAAGTTACTTAGCTGTGATAGTTGCTTATTTAAAATTGGTAATATACTGTCACTAAACAGATGTTTCTCTTTGGTTGTTCACATAGTTGGATCCAACGCTCGAGAGACATTTTAAGGGTCATCGGCACACTGTGACAAGTGTGGACTTCAGCTGCAACATGAAACAGATTGGTAAAACCTTTTCCATGTTTCAGACTATTTTCATGTATTACCCACTTTTCCTTGTATTTTATTTTATTGTACAGTTCCCCGCGGTCTTGCAAAAATCATTCAAGTTTTCTTCCCCCTCTCCCAGCTACAGGCTCTGTGGATTCTTGTGTGATGATCTGGAACATGAAGCCTCAGATGCGAGCGTATCGCTTTGATGGCCACAAAGAAGCCGTCACTTCTGTTCAGTTTTCTCCATCTGGCCACCTGGTGGCCTCATCTTCTAGAGACAAAACTGTACGCCTTTGGGTGCCCAACATGTAAGATTTCCTGTTACATCCCCAACCCAAATCCTTTTTTTTTAACCTGAGCTCAGCTAATATTGACAACTCTAGTAACTCTTTTAGTGTTTAAACCTTTATCATACTTACCCCTTTTTCTCTGACTGTGGCTGGATACAGGTCATCCAAAACGGAGACATTTGGTCTTATCATGCTCACTAATTTTTTCGCTAAAACTCGCCCTTTTGAAGCTTAACCTTGAACTTAAACTCAGCTTTATTTATCACTTGGGATTACTTCTTCAGAGAAATGCTGGTTCCAGTAGCTTATATAGAGTACAAAGAGTTAAAGTAAAATGCCATTAAAGATAAAAACAAAACAAAAACAAAAAACGACAATATAAAAAGAGTATGTGAAGTTCCAAAAAAGCATTACAAAATTTAAATTAAAAGGAGCATAACATTTTAAAAAAAAAGCATAAATATAAAAAAAAAAAAACCCTACCACTGCAGCCACAATCTCTGTGTCTGTAGTGAATGTAATCACTCAGATAACAGATAAATGTGTGCAAAGGCTGTAATCATAGACTTTAATGTATATTATAATACCAGAAATGCATTTAAAAGCCACATCACTGTTTTGAATAACATTATGTATGTAAATATATATTTATTGAATTAATCTCCAGCCTTACCTTCTGACTGCTTTACATTTGAGTGATGTGCTGTGTGTCCAAAGGAAGGCAGAGTCAACAGTATTCAGGGCTCACACTGCCACTGTGCGCTGTGTTAACTTTTCTGCTGATGGACAAACTCTGGTGACAGCCTCTGATGACAAGACCATCAAACTGTGGACAGTCCATAGGCAGAAGTTCCTGTTCTCTCTCAGCCAACACATGAACTGGGTTCGCTGTGCTAAGTAGGAAACATATTTTTTAACCATATAAAATACCCTTTTTATATTTTTCTAGTTGGATATAATTTTCTGTTTAAATAATTTGATTTAGTAATATTTTTATATCTCTTTATGCAGAGATATAAAACTGCCACATGACTCTCCTGAATTTCTTTGTAGGTTTTCTCCAGATGATCGTTTGATTGTATCATCCAGTGACGATAAATCCATAAAACTATGGGACAAAAACAGTAGAGAATGTATTCATTCTTTCTCTGAGCATGCTGGGTAAGCGTTTTAAGCAGTGAAAATTAAAGAGAAATGTTTGGATTTTTTTTGCTGTCTGTTTTTGTGTAAAATGTGTATTTTTGTTTGTATTTTAGAAATACAGAATAGAGATTCTGCCTCCCTATTATAAACTGATTTATAAATGTATTTTTCCCTTTTCTCTGAAGTTATGCCAACTATGTAGACTTTCACCCAAGCGGGACATGCATTGCTGCAGCAAGTACTGACCACTCTGTTAAGGTCTGGGACATCAGATCTCACAAGATGCTTCAACATTATCCAGGTATACCCCCCCCCCCCCCCTCACAGATTTCCACACTGAACAACCTTCAGTGTGGAAGTCTTTTTTTTTTTATTGGATCAGTTTTTCCTTATCATTTAGGTGTTTAAGGAGCTTGTTCATGAAGGCATGAAACCTCTATAGTATAATAGGTCATTTACTCGGGCAGCTGCAACATAAACTTTAATATCAGTAGATTTAGGAAGCTGGAGTTGTTATGGTAACGCTGTTCTGATTTATCCTTTTTAAAGTCCTCTTATGCAACATGCGGGGTTAGTAAATATTGTGAGTCCTGTTTAAATCTCAGTTCTTTGTTTTGAGATATTGAAATCTACTGTACAATTTTAGGTAAAAAGATAAGAAAATGTTTAATTAGTCTTAGAAAGAAGATATGCTGATATATATTTTACTTAACTATTATCTATCGATACATTTTTTCCCTTATCTGCATACTACACTCCTACATTTTTAGTGCTTGAGAGGGAGAAAATCTAACCTTTTTCCCCTCTTCATAAGTCATCGGTATGTTTTACTTTAAATGTATCTTGAAAAAATTTAAAATAAGGGCTTCTTTTGTTGATTTATAGTTCTAAAATTGCTTTCCATCAGTCCTATGCTACATCTCCAGTTGGAAACTCCTGATTAGGTTGGAAGGTATTTTGAACTGATTACCGTAATCAGCCCGTCCAAATGGATTCAGTTGGGAGATCTAATAATGGATAATTACTTCTGTCTGTGGAGAATGAGCATTAGGATAAAAGCTCCTCCATATCCCCTTATTTTAAATATGATGTTATTTCACATAATATGTGTAACATTTTTTTGCTAAATGGGGTAGATTTCTGTGGAAACTTGTTACATGGATTTTTGGAAGCAGGTTGGATTAATGTATGGTTCGTATTAGCAACATGTAGCTGTGCGGTGTTGGCAGACAGTGCTTATTCAGGTATAGAATAATTTTTTCACCATATGAACATATTCTTCAGAATACAACAGGTCTTTACTATTATCTAACCTAAGCCTTTATTTTCCACCTAGAAGTGTCTTTATGTCC